CCTGGAGTGCGCTGCGAAGTCTGGAAAAGTGGATGGGCGGGCGAACTGGGTCTGGGCTAGCCAGACTGAACTGGACCGGGTCCTGGTCATTCCTTAAAGTGCTCTGCCGTGCACCCCTTGCAGTGCCGGCATCGTCACGGACTTGGTCGCTCGGGCGTTGGGCGGCAATGCGACGTAGTGGAATGGACCAAGGGTTCGCGGCACTTCGACGTTGGCCGCGTGTACTTTCTCAGCCCCCCCCCCCCCCCCCGCCTGTATAGACTGGGTCGCTCTCGCCGGTCTGGCGGGCTTATGCCAGGTGTCTGCCCATGTCCTCCCCTTTGCTTCATACTGAGTACATATCGCGTGTATCGTATTGTCCATTGCTACATGCATCGTGTTAGAAGTCTCCGTACGGAGTTTCGTGCGACGCCAGGATTGTGGTGTAATCTCACCTTTCGTCGGTTGGTCTCGCCTGGGTAAACCTTCGGTTGTTTCGCAAGCCACGGCGTCATCTGCTCTTACATAAATACAGAATTCAGAAGTAATCTCAAACTTGGGTTTTTGGGATACAACATGCAACGCATACGTGCATGCATAAGTACATAAGATACGATAACATGCACAAGCGCTCACAACTTGTGTTTATTGGATGGCGGTTAACGGGTACGCATCAATAACTTCCCCTGACAAATATGGGGAGAGGGGGCAGGCGGTGGAAAAACTCCAGTCGTTATATTTATCTTCCATTCCAAGACCACTGGGGGTGGGCATGAAAGACGGCGGGTGAGACGGGCCCCCAGTACCGCGAGATCGGCTTTGAGAAGTACATACAAGTACATGCACAAGTATGTACATCCTGTAGCTTTAGGAGGAGCGCTGCCAGGTTGGATGCAATAGGTGAATGCAATACAAATGTATGCAAAGTGGATGCGAATGATGCCAGGGTGGATGCAATATTCAGGCGCGTTGACTCAGACGAATATGGTGCGACTGCTGGAGCTAGAAAAGGTGGTTTAGTAGGATATATTATTGGAAGTACATCCCGGTATTGATTCGTCCTGAAAGGGTTTGAAATGCAAAATTTACGCGATTGCCACCCAGTTTATCGGCGAACCCCCCGTTTTGAACTACTTTACTAGTACCAACCAACCTTTTTGAAGAATCAATCGAGAGCCATACTACGACATACTAAATTTTAGTACTAAGGTGACGTCACGTCTGCGTAGCCTCTTACTCCAGAAGCCTCGGAAAAGCTTAAGGAGTGCCTGTTAGAAAGCTGAGTGCCCTGCTGGAGTAGTTTTCTTGAACATCTCTTAAATCGGTTCCGCTCCGCTTTGGTCTAAAACGTCGAAATCTTAAGATCAAATCAATCCTTCAAAGCCCAAGCCAAATATTGGCGAAAAAGATGAGTGACACCTGCACAGCAAGGGTTGGGTCTACACATAAATCACTGAGCCATAAGGCAATAAGCCAAAACTGAACCGGATCTTTGATTTTTCAATCGACGTGAGTCATGCGCCAAATGATTCCACGTAAGCGATGTGCCTGAACTGAACCGAATCAAAACATGTGAAACGGCTATGAGTCATGATCTACATGGGATCCCAAGATTTGTGAGCCGGTCATGATCCCGCTAAAAAACTTGAGTCGATCACCACAAGTTTGCTGGATTCTATAGGCAGTAGCAATAATACCCCTCTGGAGATGGCCTGAGTTGAAAGTATGATTTTGCACAAGTGGCCTCTATGCACCCCCATGAAGTAAACGCTAGATATCGTCCAAAGTCGCGACAGCCCAGCCCCTCAACCTTCTCTGCCCCTGCCGTCTTCCTAATCCGCCGATCCGGTAGGCAGGTGTTGAATACGTGCATGGTGACCTCACCAATAGCTGGAAGCTGATCTTTAATGCACGAGTGCAGATTCCGTCTGACATACTGGCGGACAAGTCACGGATGCTGAGAATTATGCAGGATAGCCATCAATGTCGACTGGTGGAGCGGAAAAGCCGTAACGGCCAGCCCGCCGGCAGCAACGACCGGCAGCAGGCATCGATACCGCGTCACAACCAGCGACTAGCTGTCGCAAGTGGTCCGATAGAAACCAATAAATAATTGAGCTTGTCGCCTGACAGCGGGGGCCGTAGCGCTGCTACACCCACCGCATCCCTTGGCCGCCGTCAGCGCTCTGTATGCTTCGCCAGTCCCTTGTGTAGCCCTGTTCTGTGAGTCGGGTCTGGCTGGCCAGTGAGCACTCGAGAATACCCTGTCAGATGGGCATACGACCATGGCAACAGCGCAGGGCTATCCGAACACATGAAAGAAAATATGTGACTTTGTTGGGATCTGTGACTAGTCACCACATTCTTGTTGGCTCGCAATACGCGCATCGTCCTCACCACTCGACCGAGCATGCAGTCATCGATATAGTTAGCCATATAAACAAGAACGTGGACGTCGGTATGGTCACCATCATTAGTTCAAGTGATTTATCAAAAGCCTTCCATTGTGTGGACCGCTCTGCTCTTTCAGCCAAGCTGGAATGTTATGGCATTTCGCCACACTGGTTTTCGGATTATTTCACCGACCGCCGGCAGACTGTGAAGGGCGGAAACGGGCCGAGGCTTGAGGTCGCGTATGGCGTGGTTCAGGGCAGCATTGTAGGACCACTGATGTTTCTCCTCTTTAACAACGACATCCAGCGTTATGTATCAGCTACGCGCAAACTGGTGTCATATGCAGAAGACATGCAGCTCATGCATGAATCATCACCATCTGCCTGTGGTCTCGCACAGCTGCGTTGGGGTGTTGAGTCCGGTATGATCGCAGTCTCAGTATGGTTTCGTCACAGTGACATGAGGATCAACCCATCAAAAACTGAATTAATTATTGCTGGCACACCCACCAACACCCGCAAAGCCGCCGGGCTGTCTCCTTCAGAGTACTTCAAAATACTGGGGGTGTTCATCGATAAAATCTCAACTGGCAGCACCGAACGGCAAAATTACTCAGCGCTGTTTTGGCTCCCTCATAGTTATTAACAAGCTCAGGCATGTGCTTCCCGGCTCCACAGCTGAGTAAGCCCTGTAAGGCCCTAGTAATAAAGGCCCTAGCTGAGTCACTGGTCTTCCTTGTCTTTAGATATTGTTTACTTGCGTAGGTCCCGACAACAGCCGTTGAGCGCCAGCACCTGGTTAAGGCCATCAACTTCACGGTCAGAATTGTTGCCGGCAAACGCAGACGAGATCACGTCATGAATCCCGCAAACAGCAAAATTGGTCCAATTTCGACGAGACTGTCACCCACCGCGACTGCATGTCTGTACTGGAGACGAGCGCTTGCAAAACGCCGTCGCTTAGAGTGCGTGAAAAGGGTATTTCCCTCTTGAGCCGTAGCGGCGTAGAGTTGCCTCCCTGCTGCCATGCGCCAGTGCAAAAACTTAAATGAGTTCAAGGGCAAAGCAATGCCTTTCATCAGAGAACTTGACTAAACTGACCAGCTGGCCATGACGTGCAGGTGCTGATTGTATCACAAGTCGCTCATGTTTTATAACATCGTATGTGTATCGCTGGCGTTGCATTTCATCTGTATGTGTTGCGTGCTCTGTGTTGATCTATGTAGTATGCACTGACACGGCGTTAGAGTAGCCACTCGCTGGATTTCGCCAAGGTTCGCAAAAACGATATTAATAATAATAATAAACCTATGGAGGGCCTAAACGCGGTCAGGAGTGCTCGACGGGAAAGCATATAGAATCCCGTGACAACGGCGTAGGGCTCTTGCGCCGGCCCTTCTTGTCTTTTCTCAAGCAAGAAAGACTGAATAAAAAATTGGAACATGCCTGAGCGATCTAGAGTGCCCTGGCAAGTAAACAAATAGAGCCTCCGGCAACAACATAGGGCCCCTGGACAGCGTAAGGGGCCCTAAAACTTTTGCAACCACAACCCTCCCAATAAGTCGTGAATTATGTTGCCTGCTTTTGGGCCTGCTTCATTCACACTGGAGCCCTTCGTGGTCGCGTGCAAAAAAGCCTCATTTTTGGCGTTTTGTGCTAAAAAACCTGCATCCATTGGCAGGTTATAGATCGCTTCGGAGTGGGCTCAGGGGGGGGGGGGGCATGATCCTGAAGCCAAGCCCTCTTGGCCCGCCACTGCCCTGAACGGGCAGATGCAACACATGTTCAAGGTACAGGTTTTCAAGGCTAAGATCGTAACCGGACGCCACCAGTTCAAGAATGATCAATGTCATTGTATGTGCTACATCGGTCGCTAAAGATCTCAGGGCAACAGATGGCCTCAGATGCTGGAATTGGTTGCAATGCTGCTGCACCGGGTTGTTATGTTATTCCACCTCAAATTCAAGAAGTTGTTTATGAACTGATTTGAAGTGACCCTAATCGACCGGCTGTGCTGTCCTTGACCATTTCAGCCTCGCATATGCTTGAGCAGATACATTTTCCTCCTCGTATGCTTGATATGAAGAGGTCACAGTTGGTGATATAGCGCCTGATTTTTTAGTTGTTCTCCCCAGCAGGAAAAATTGGTGTGGCCCAGCAGCGTGCCAGGAAGCGCGGATCACAACTTTGTATGCTTTCAGTTTGCGCGCCTCGCAGGGGCAGATAAGTGTGCTTGGCTGTGAAATGAGGCGCGAAACCTCGTGGTGGTCATATGCATATCCATATCGGCCCATATATGTTGGTGAGCGGAACTTAAACTTTGACTTCACCTCGCCAACTACTGAAAAGCAAAAACATTTGGATGACATTGCAATGAAGAGATCGACATCTGTAATATGCTTAACATGACGAAACTCTGTGCAATAGAGGAACGGGTTATATTTATGTTACGTCCGTTCCACATAGTTACACACACACCATCAACACAGCCATCCCAGCCTCCGTGCGGATATGCGCATAATGGCGGTGCTCATCCAAGTGCAAAGGCCGCTGTTTTCGGGTGAGTCTGACAGCCGCGTACAGGCATTTTGCACGGGTTACAGTTAACGTCCAGATTCTCTGTTTCAGCGCCATCAATCCGATCCTGTACAATGCCATGTCTGCCAAGTTCCGAAGGGCTTTCCGGCAAGGCTTTCGAAGCCTATGTTGTGAGTATCCCGAATGCGGCTGTATCACCGCGCGCCTCTCCCGTTTCCATTATCACTATATATTTATACGACATATGTTTGAAACCGAAAGGGTTCCCAGCCTCCGGTCTCCTCCGGTGTTCACAACTGTGGTGCTCTTTTACAGGACGCAGTAATGTGTGATAATTCCAGTTAGTAATTGAATGAGTTCGACGGCTCCAAGCTGCTGCTTGAAATGCATAAAAATTGTACGATATGCCAGTTGTTAATGCTGCTAAACTGACAAAGTGCTATCCGCTCTAGGTCGCGGTGATATTCCAAGTCCTTTTTTCTTTTGACACGCTTGGCTGAACACCTGAGGGACATAGATTGGAGGATTCAGAGTTCAGTTTCGTCCACTGGGTTTATAGTTCCGCTGTCTTGGTTTCACGGACGCTGTTTGTCCACCCAGTTTGAAGCGGTCTAAAAGGTCGACACCAAACCAGACGTTTATACATATATATATATATATATATATATATATATATATATACATAAATGTATATATATACACACATATATTTACACGTGACTGGTCAGTCACACACATGACCCACATGTAGACAGACCGTCGCACACAGCGCTCGTGGACGGACAGTCCCACGTGGCTCACAAGTGACCGGCCACCCACATAGGTATCTCACACGTGGCCGGCCAGTAATACGCGGCCCACACGTGGCCGGTCGGCCACACACGGGGCGACGCGGGACCGACACTGCCGCACGTATTGCAGGTAAACGGGCTCAGCGCGACGACGGCGTGGAGCTGGCGGCCGCGCGTCGCCCTGCCGCCAGCGCCCTCGGCGAGCGAGGCGGCACGGTCGGGGGCCGGCCCGCCGGCGGCAGCCGTCCGTAAGCCGGCCTCAGCCGCCCCGGGCGGAGGCCCCGGGCGTCGGGCCCGGCTGTGCTCTGGCGGCCGATTGCCGCGGGTGTGTCGGGATGGGGTAGTGGCCGGTGAAGAGTCGGTCGAATGTGGCGCGTTTTTAAGCCATTGTGGCTGAACCGGCTGGGGCGGTCGCCCAGTCAGTCCCCGTCAACATGCGTTGCACGGGGAAAGACCGGTACTCTTATTCAGCGGTCGACGGCGTGTCCTTTGTGGCGGTCTCCACGGCTGTGGGAGCTGCCAGAAGCCGTCGACGCCACCAGCAGCTAGCAGCTGTGGTAGCCGGAGCGGACGTCACCAGCGGCTGGGTCGCCTCGGACGGCCACCGTTGTCGTGACCTGCTGCCTATGTCGTCGGCATTGCGCGAGTGAAGAAGTGTTTGCGCCGCTTTCAAACGGGTTGTGTAGGACAGCTGTGACACGCAGCTCACACCTTCTGTCGGCATCGTAGCGTAGATTTGTAATCCGCGAAGCAGATGTGACATATTCCCCAGCTGCCGGCGCAGCCACCCTGTGGGTGTACCGTTCTAAATGTATATTGGTGTGGAACGTAACGCGAATGGAAGAGTGCTTCTACGCCGTGTTTCCATGACTCGCACGTGCCGCCCGTGAGCCTCCTGTTGCGCCACGTCGGGCTTGGAGCCCTGCTGCTATCGCAGCGGCCCCAGCTCAGTGGCCCTAGCACGGTCGAGGCCACGCCTCTGCGAAGCGCTTCGCTTCGTACTCCACGGCGGCGGGGAGGGTCGGCCTGCCGCCGGCCCACGGCCGCTTCTCTGCCAGGGGCCTGGCGAGCCGCTGCAGCGCGTCGGGCATGAGTCAGCTTTGCGGTGTTGCTACTGATGTGGTGTGCTTCGCTGGCCATCCGCCGGCGCTGGATTAGACCCCCCCCCCCCTCCGTACGGACACTGGCCCCACTCCGCTGGCGATGTTCTCATCTGCTGTGGTTCCGTTCTGCGCGTCACCGGCATTCTGACGACTGTTTGATATCCATCTGTTACCCACTCAGCGCTCTGCATAATATACCTGGTGGTGTTGAGGTGGGTGTTCGAGAAAAGATGAGGTTTTGAGGTTTAAAAAACATGTGACCACTTTTGCGCACGAATTGCTCATACCGGGTAGTGTTCTAACTTAAAATTGATTGACATCGTTCCAAAACTAATCTTGGCCCTGTCCGGCGAGCAATTTGTCGGAGGAGGGTGGAGGCGGATGGAAAACCCCAAGCGTCTTTAATGGCTTTGGAAGATGCTTGGGGTTTCCCGAGCTTCAGTCGAACCCCTGTAATCAGCCACCGTCTGGGGAGGCTTGGGATTTCCCAAAGTCTCCCCGACCGTCATAATTAAGATTTGTGTGGGGAATCTTTTTCAGTGCGTAATAGGCATTGGCAGCTCGGTAGATGCTGCGAACGCTCCGTTTGAGGAACTGTTGGGAAGCGGCCCGGAACACAGAACGAAACAGGTTTGAAATGACAGCCAAATGGTCTCACATTCGGAGCTAATCCCTAGTGTTTCCTAAGCAGACAGTTGGGGAACGGCAGGATGTTCCGGTTAGAATCGGGCCGAAAGCGCTGGCTGGGTGACTGGCACGTGCGTGAAAACACAAGTTTCATTACTGGTAGAGCGCCAAAAGCTTTGCCTGAGGAGTCCTGAGTCGCAGGCATGTTTCAATGCCTAGGCCGGCCTGACATTGTTATATTTTATGAGCTCAATCTTTTGCACGGATGATTTTTAAAATCAGAACAACACGCTTGCTTGTTGCAATGCTTGTTCCGCGAGCCCTGACTCCACCAGCCTATCGCGAAATGCTGGATCAACGGGAAGATCAAGGTAAACATTTAGCGGCCCGTGATGCTTGGCACGATCCACCCTAGCCTCTGACGTTAGCTGGTCTTTCTGTGTGGAGGCTGCCATGGGTTGCAGTGCTCCTCAGTCAGGCGTAAACAGCGAGTGCTCAAAGTGATTCGAACCCGCTCCGCCATGGCTGGATCGACCCGCGGACATGCGCTCTTTGCCCAACTAAGCCATCTGGTCGTAAGCCACCAGCAACTGTTTCCATTTCATTAGGTCCAGTGGAGTGCAGAGTCAGTGTCTTCTTCCGACTGTGAGCTGTAATCTGTGCAAGTCGCACGCTTCGTTGCGGAAGCAGCTGCCGCCCGCCTGTTCTCGAGGGGACAAACGGCTGAGTCGCAACGCGGCGCAAAGGGCCGTGCGTTTATCGCTGCGTGGCTTCAAAGCGAGCCAAACTCCTTGGTAAAAGCAATGAGCAGGTTGACACCTAGCACCTACCTGCTTTCAGCCTTCTGATGAGAACGGTGTGGCGTCGTGTACATTTCTGTGTGGCGATCTTCGCGGCATGGATGCGCACTGCAACGGCCGAAGAAGACGAGGACTGGTGCTTAGCCGACCCGACTACAATGGGGACAAGCCAACAACGTTGTGCCCCAATCTCCCCTTCGTTTGCGTGATGTACATGGTGGCCCAGCTAACAGTTAAGCCACGTTTTTAAGTGACGAGTGTGTTTATCGCACAACAGAGACTGTGGTGGCGTTCGAACGCCAACTCACTGGCTAAACACGATCAACAACAGTGGTGGTCATCAGAAATCTCGGGTCCGTTAAATCTTGACTCCACAGATGGCCCCGGGCGGTCCAGGATGCGCGGCGGCCGAACCCGATGCAGGCGGTCGATTGGTCGCTCGATCTCGTTGAAGGTGAAGCGTCCCATCTTAAGACTGATGGCGACCTCCACCTCTTGAAGGTTCACTGGCTTCCACTTCCACTTAGCGCGGTCCTTGGGCAATTGTACTGCATGAAGTTCACGGGCGACGGGTCGGGGGAGTCAAGAGCCAAGAGCTTTGCAGTATTCAGGCTGGTATGCCCCGAGAGCGATGCCCCTCCATCCAGCTCAGTGAGGCCAGTGCCGTAATCGGTATCGATTCGTCCTGCTTGAGCCACCAGCCGTTTCAATCAGTGAGGCGAATCTGCAGAAGAGCCGCTCCAAACTTGACATTGAAGCATCCCGAAAATTATATTAACAGGATTTCAGTTATCGTCTTAAATAAGAAGTGCCCAATCAGAGGCTGCCTCTTCCACAAGACATCATGCACCGTGACAGTAAGAGGCGCCGAATCAGAGGCTGCCTCTTCCACAAGACATCATGCACCGTGACAGTCCTCAAATGCCCCGGCGGATCAGTTGGCTAGAGCCTTCCGATCCACCCACCCGTGGCGAGGTGGGGTCGAGGCGCTTCAGGCACGCGCTATCGGGTGATACCCCGCCAGCCATTGCCTTCACAGGTATGACCCGCAGCGCGTGGCAGCCCCCTCGCTGGAGGTGTGGGGGTGTCCGAGGGCAGGACGGACCGTGCCGAGCACTGCGGCACGTCAAACTTTTGCAACTAAATTCTGCCATTGACCTGGAATTGCGCGATCAGACGTTGGGGAGCGAGGCTCACACAGCAACCACTGCTTGGCGTGAGCTCGAATCCCAGAAATCCATCCATTTAAAATACTCGGAATAAATCTTCAAAACAGCTGGAGAGGAGTGTGGATAACCTCGTCTAGCCTCTGCCGGCCGCGGTGCATGGTGTTTTGACTCTTGATCTGATGGCGCAGCCAGAAATACGTTTCGTCCAAAAGCCACAATTTGCGAAGGCCTCGGGATCTTGTTTGAACGGCTGCAGCATCACGCTCTTCTGCACGTCCATCTCTCTCAGGGCGTGGCGAATGGGTAACTTGTACAGCTTGAATTTTGACTCCAATTTGCGCTGCATTTCGACCAATTCTTCCGACCGAACGCATGTGCCAGGTGATGTATGTTCAGCATTGGGCTCTGTGTAACGGAGTCATTTTGGACGTTGCTCAGGCACAGTGCCTCTTTGGCAAAATCTATTCATGCGACTACCAAATCAATGGGTTTGCCGGTGTCTTACTAAATCTTTTTGGATTTATCTGAAACATTTGGAAGAACTGTCTGCATGTTACGCTCGTAACATGGGGGCTGGGCCAGGGCTCAGGGCTGGGCCAGAGTATGATCAATGACCTAGAATGTCTTGTGCGAAGCTCCACATTACTGGCTGTGAATAGCACAGCGAATACTCAACAAAACCTCGACCCACTGTCATGCGGGTTACCATGGCGACGAGCTATCACGTCCGTCACCACTCCTAAAACTACCATTAAAAAAAAATACTCGGTATCGAAGCATTTTCGGCATGTTCTGCTCTGGAGGAAGGAAGGGACGAATGTTTTGTGACACAACGGGCCGTGTCTATTGCAAACAACGGATAACGACGGAGAGGCATGAAGCCAACGGACGAAAAACGGCGTTGGTGTCGAGAGTTTCTCAGTGTCGCCGCGTCGCCGGCATCGATGTGCCGCAGTGCCGAACGTTGCCTCCAATCTCGCCCGTTCAGCAGCCAGGTACTGGTGCCGAGTCGTCTGGACAGCTGATTCTTCAGCATTCCAGGCGCGGAGCCTCACCAGGAAATGTCACAATCTCCGAAGACCGGACACCCGAAACGAAAAGAAAGCAGTGGAGAGCTTCCATCTCTTCAGCAGAGGTAGTGGGACCTTTAGGAATCTAGAAAGAGAGGGTGGGGATGGACGTGGGGCGGGAAGATGGGCGTCGCTTTCCGTTGGCGTTCATCATGCATTTCTTTGTTGTTTGGTTTTCATGTAATGGACCGGTTTTATATTTCACGGAAACAGTTGTGACGGGTGCCCCTTCCGATCCATCGTCTGTACTCTCGAGAATAACAGTATATAAAGACTGCCAAAGAGGCCCTGGAACCTCAAGATCCCTCTCATCGCATCCACAGCACCCTTGAGCACATACTTATCGCGCCAGGACAGGCAAGGCCGGGTACCCAGCTGGTGGTGCTGGAAGGACCTCTTGGTCCGTCGTCGGGGAGAAGGCGGCTGACATATCTGGTGTTCGTGAGTGTGATTTCCAGATGTAACGACCGTCAATTGGCTCAAGTGTCTGCATTTCTTCGTGGGTGTGTAGCTCAGAAAATAGGGGGGGGGGGGGTAGGTATGTCTCAAGAAGTACAGGGCTGCGAACTTTACAGAATGCTCTCCAAGATGGTCACTTCAGTTAAAAACCGATACAAATGTTGAACACTCCTTCCTTATTGAAATATCATCCAAATGTGCCTGCGTTACAGTGGTTCGCAAAGTCAACTCAAAATTTAAGTTCCGTTAAAGTTAATCCGTTAATGGAGTAGACTAGGTAAGTTAGCAAAATTTAAGTTAATCCGTCAAATTTTAAAAATTTAACGGAAGTTAAAGCTCATCCGGTGATGCTTAAACTTTTACAATTGCATTATAGTGCCCGAATATCTACCACTACCTATTCAAAGCATGGAAATAGCTGAACGGTATCGTTAGTCGTTCATCGTATTGCAACTCCTACGTTAAGCGGTGAGTGTACATATTTTCCACGATGGTACCTTTGTCCTAAAAGATTGTAAGCCAGAAGGGAATTTTCTAATAGAAGCCAGAATCTATAGAAGAAAATATACATAGAACCACATAGTATGCACTGCATAATGCACCAATGCACTCTAGCTCGTTGGTACGCTCAACTCGAGACCACATTTGATAATTGTGCTTCTAACTGAAGGCAGTGTCCAGGAAAGAATCGTTCGTCTTATGGCAGCAATTCTTTCCGCAATGAGCTGTGGGTGGGCCTCCATTGTCGGGGCCCGGAAATCAGTGTAACTGGCGGAGGGCGCGTGTCGAGACGGTCGGGACAATACCGGGCGGTTGCATAATCGATTCTGACCTGTTCTGCTATAGGTGCGGTCGTTTCGCTCCAAAACAGCAAGATACAACATCACGGCGCTGGTGAAACGTCACCTTTTCACTGTTCCAGAGCGCAAGTAGGCGATCATGACAAGCGATGGGCGCCTCACGTATGTTGCTCGACATGCTCGAACTCACTTCACAACTGGTTTGCAGGCACAAAAGTGCGCATGTCATTTGCGGTCCCACTGGCGTGGAGGGAGCCCACGGACCTCATTTCAGATTACTTCTGCATGACAAACGTGGCGTGGTTCATGTCCAAAAGCGAAGGAAGCTTAGCGTATCCAGATGTTTCATCTGCGGTTAGGTCCATGGCTCGGTCCGGGCACCGACCTGTTCCAGCTCAATCAGCATATTAAGATCTCCTGTCTTCAGATGATGACCACTTGCTATATACATGAAGTACTGGTGCGCTAGCAGAGGAGCCTGACGCCAATAAATGAATGTTCTTCATTGGTGCCTACAAAATAGCACTGACGGCATTTCTACTCCATAACGGGTGTGACCTACCAGGCGTACCTTTAGTTCTTGCTCCTGAGCTGAAAGAAACGCATGAATCCACGCAAAAGATCATAAACCTGACCCATCACGAGGGATTTCGTTGGAAGCCGTACTGCGATTTGAAGGTGGCAGGCCTCTTGATGGGGTCACAGGGTGGTTCCACTAAATGATGTTATTTCACTGTCTGTGGGACAGCCGAGATGTGCAGCACCATTAAATTCGGTGCGAGTGATAAGCCCGTGACTCAAATGGGACTGGTGTGAGTTACGTCCTCAATGTTCCCCTAGTTAACCTAAGCGATGTTCTGCTGCCGCCTCTGGATATAAAGCTGGGCCTAATTGCCAAGGCTATGGACAAGGACGGTGCAGTTTTCGCCTACCTCAAGAAAGCGTTTCCCAAAATCAGCGAAGCGAAAGTAAAGGAGGGATTTTTGTTGGCTCTCAGATTCGTCACCTGATGAATGATACTCAAATTGGTTCATGTCTCAAACCAGACGGGCTGGGGGCGTGGGCCGCGTTCAAGAATACATGTAGAAGCTTCCTGGGTACCCATCATAGCGATGATTATGCGGAAACGATCCAACAGCTTCTTAACGCCCGCCACCAATCTGGCTGTCGCAAGTCCCTCAAGATCCACTTCCTGCACTTCAATCTCGATTTTTTTCCGTCGAAATTCAGTTATGTCAGTGGCGAGCAGGGAGAGTGTTTCCACCAAGATAGTTGTTACGTCGGTAATTGACCCGTTGGTGCTATCGGTTATTGACCTCATAAATGATACCCGTGTATTAACCATCTTGCTGAGAGCGAAGTAAAATATTTGTACACATTCTCAGCAAAGAAATATGATGTTGTCCAACAAATAAGTTACTCGAATGCAGTCTACTTTAAATTATTGCGAACACTATTTCTTAACATAACGACGACGAAGATGGAATATCAGCAATTCAAGTAATTTGATACACGATAAACACAGGAAGTAGCATCTCACGATTTTAGCGTAACGTTTTAGTGTTTGTGAGTTTGTGGACCCAGTACAGGCTTCAGTCATATGACACTCAGTCGTTGAATTAAGGCAATTGCAATCGGGATATGTGAGCTTAGGGAGCCGGTAAAGGCCACAGATATTTGACGCTAAATATTTAGAGCAGCGTAAGTGTTTTGTGAATCTGTGGACCCGGAATGCGGGCCACAGTAGTGTGGCGACCAGTCTCAGCACAGCAGGGAAGTTCAGTGAAGGTGAAGACTTCGACATATGGTGGGATGGATTCGACTTGTATTTATCTGCCTTTGGCATTGAAGAAGTGACTCGGAAGAGGGCACTCCTGCTTCACCTGCTGAGGAAGATATCCAGAAAAAATCGAAGGATGTAACTGACATAGAATCAAACTCGATAAAACTTCGACACATTCTCGAGCCACAAGTTCGTCCACTGTAAGAAAGACGCATCTTCCATAACATGTCGATGGCGGATAAAGAGGAAAACCTTCGGTGCTTTGTCGGACACCTAAAGAGATCGACAGAGAAGTGTAACTTTTCTCGAGAGCAGAAAACTGAGTCCATCTGGGACATGATAAATAAAGATGCCGCACTCACCACTGCGAGAAAACTACACCAAATGAACCTGACAAAAAGTCGGCCCGAACCCAGAACGGGAACCGCAAAAGGAAGCAGATTTTGCGAACAGAGTGTGAGGGAGGAGGGAAATACAGCCCAGGTTTGGCGCTCAGAAAAACGGTCAGGACCCTGCTGCCGTTACGGTAGATCATCGCATAAAGCAAGTGAGTGCTTGGTCACAAAAGGGAAAACATGCAACAAATGCGGTGGCAAAAATCACCGAAAAAAATGAATAAGTCACCAGGTAGACGAGT